GGGAGTGAGGGGCACCGGCAGAGTGGGGGAAGGGGAGATGGGGGCGTGGCAGAACTGGGGACGGACGGGGATACAGGGGCAGGGCAGGACTGGGGGACAGGCTAGAAGCGGGGAAGGGGATAGAGGGGCAGGGCAGGATCGGGGGGCAGGCCGGGAGTGGGGAAGGGGATACAGGGGCAGGGCAGAACTGGGGGACGGGACGGGGAGACGGGGGCAGGGCAGGACTCGGGGGCAGGGCAGGACTGGGGGGCAGGCTGGGGGTGGGGAAGGGGAGACAGGGGAGGGAAGGGGAGACAGGGGCAGGGCGGGGGGGGGGTACCTGTGACGACGAGGTGGGTCCCAGACCCCAGCAGCAGACAGGGCTGCCCCGAGAGCAGCAGGACGAGGTGGCAGCGATAGACGCCCGAGTCGTTGCCCCGCAGGGCCCGGATGCTCAGGACGCTGGTGGAGCCGTTCTCCAGCCGGGCCTGGCCCAGCCCCGTCGCCAGGTGGCCCCGGTGCCAGCTGGCCCTGAGGGCCCCGGGCGGCGGGGGGGGTTCCACAGTGCAGCTCATCTCCAGGGACGCCCCCTCCGGCCGGGCTGCCCACGGGGGGCGCTGCTGCACCCAGAACTCAGAGCCCCCCAGGCAGCGACCTGGGTGGGGGAGGAGAGTCAGAGCTGGGAGACGCTGGCCAGGCCCCCTGTGACAGAGTGGGGAGGGGGGCGGGCTGGCCTGGGGATGGGGCGGGGGAGTTGTACTGGGACTGGGATATCGGGGGTGACTTTACGCTCAGGTATCGTCCCTCAAGTGACCTGAGAGCCCGGGGGGCTGGGGCCAGGTGACACCTGCCCGGGAAACTGGCCCAAGGCTGGGGGAGGAGCCGGGGGGGTGAGATGGCTGGGGATGGGGTTCAGTTTGGAGCTGTCTGGGGAAGCAGAGGGAGGCCCAGCACCGGGGTCTGGGCTCCCTGCCCCCCAAGATGGACCTGACTGAGGGGTCCTGTTCGCTGTACCTACAAGCTCTGGTTTAGACCATGTTCCTGTCGTCTAATAAACCGTCTGTTTTACTGGCTGGCTGATCGTCCCGGGGAATCACAGGAAGTGGGGGGTGCAGGGCCTTTTCTCCACCACAGTCCGTGACACCCCCCACCGAGATCCCCCCCGCCACCCAGCCCCCCACCCTGCACTAGATTGGGGCTCCCTCACCACCCAGCCTCCCCCACCCAAGACCGGGGTCCCCTTGCGGCCCAGCCCGCACCCCCACCCCCCGAGATCCGGGTTCAGCACCCACCCCCAGAGCAAGGACCAGCCCCTGCCCCGCAGCTCCATGCGTCTGGCGTGGAGGTTTTGCCCCCTGCACTCACCGCGCTGCCGGGAGCCGCCCGCCAGCCACAGGAGAGTGGCCCAGAGCAGCAGGCGCCTGGCGGCCGAGCACCCACCCCACATGCAGCCCCCGGCCCTGGCGACGCGATGCCCGGCGGGGGGAGCAGCGGCGCCTTCCTGAGTTTGCAACCAGCCTGGCACGACAGCTCCCCCCATGGGGCCGGCTCCCGCTGCCCCCTGCCCCACGCCCAGCTGGCTCTGTGGGGCCCAGCACGCGGCTCTGAGCTCAGAGTCCCTGGGGGCAGGAAATGGTCTGGGGGCAGGAAACGGGTTGGGGGAGTGACCAGCGGACGAGCTGTGGGCTCTGATGCGGAGACAGGCGCAGGGCAGGAAATGGCAGTGAGAGCCGGGGGGAGGCAGAACTACCCGGCCCCCACTCCCACACAGCTCCATGTAGCCAGCCCCACACCCCTGTCTACCCAGCCCCCCTGCCCTCAGCCAGCCAGCGCCCCGCCCGCCATCCCCATCTAGCCACCCAGCCCCCGGCCCCACACAGCTCCATGTAGCCACCCCCACACACCCAGTCTATGCAGCCCCCCACCTGCCCCACACCCCCGTCTACCCAGCCCCCCGCCTGCCCCCACACCCCCGTCTACCCAGCCCCCACCACACAGCTCCATGTAGCCTGCTCCCACACCCCCATCTACCCAGCTCCTGCCTGCCCCAGCCAGCCAGCCCGCCCCCACAGCACCATCTAGCCCCCCAGCCCCCCACCCACACAGCACCATCTACCCAGCTCCCCACCCCCCCAGGCACCCAGCTCCCCACCCCAGCACCCCTGTCTACCCAGCCCCCCCAATCCCCCCTCCCACTCTAGCCAACCCCCCTCGCCCCCACTATGCAGCCAGGCCCCTGCCCCCCATCCAGCCCCCTTCTCGCGGGCTCTGGTTTCTCTGGCCCCTTTAAGGGCGCCTGGCTGCAGCTGGCCCCGGGCCAAGGCCGCGTTTAGAGACAGGAATCGCTGAGCCAGCGGGGCGGGGGGGCGGGGGCATACACAGGGACAGACGGACGGACGCAGGGAGGGCCGGACACAAGGACAGACAGGGGGACGGGCAGGGCCCGGCAGGGACAGACGGACACAGGTGGGCCTGACGCCCCCAGCCAGCTGCAGGCTCCATGGAGGGGACGTAAGTGCCCCCCTCCCCACCCCAGGCTGTCCCCAGCCCCGGCCATGGAGCTGAAGGGGGGAGAGAGTTGGGGGGCAGGAATAGGGGGGTGGTTGGTACTTGGGGGGGCCGGACCCCTGACCCCCCCACACACACACACACTGTTACCCAGGCAGCAGGGCACAGAGTGGCAGGGGGGAGGGGGAGCAGTGGGGGGGTTGGTACTTGGGGGGGCTGGACCCCTGACCCCACACACACTGTTACCCAGACAGCAGGGCCCTGAGCGGTGGGGGGAGGGGGTCTGGTATTTGGGGGACCAGATCCCTGACCCCGTCTCCCCCCAGGGTCCCCCCCCGGGCGGCGTACCGGGCGGCCATGGTGCTGAGCGGGGCGGGCGACGCGCTGGGCTACCGGAACCAGCGCTGGGAGTACTGCCCCTCGGGCCCCCAGATCCACGCCGAGCTGGCCCAGCTGGGGGGGCTGGGGGGCATCCAGGCCGCGCCCCCCGACTGGCCCGTCAGCGATGACACCGTCCTGCACCTGGCGACCGCGGAGGCCCTGGCCACCGGTGAGAGGGGCACAGATCTGGGGAGAGGAAAAGGGGGCACAGATCCAGGGGGTGGGCATGAGGGGCACAGATCCAGGGGGGCAGAGAAAAGGGGGCTGTGACGGTGCTGCCCGTGGGAGCCAGCTGAGGTCACTCAATCAGGGTGAACTGGAAACAGAACGGGGCAGCCAAACCCCAAACGCTGGTGGATCTTCCAATACTTAGATTTACCAACCAGCCCAAAACAGCCTCTGTAGAACCTCACTGGTTACTCAGAGTCCAACCAACGCAGTTCCCTTAACGTGCCCAGCGTCCGGCCTCCGTCCAGACACACGTCAGATATGATGATGTTACTGACAATCTGATCTCATCATATAAAAGAAAAGGTTCTTCCAACCCCAAAGGGTCAGCCACACACCCAGGTCCAATTATAACTTAGATCTGACCCAAAATACACCCTATAGTCAATTCTTATTAACTAAACTAAAATGTATTAAAAAAGAAAAGCGAGAGAGTGTTGGTTAAAAGATCAATCTACAGACAGACTTGAATTCAATTCTTGAGGTTCAGACACAGCAGAGATGAGCTTGTCGTTGCCAAAAGTCCTTTTAGAAATAGTCCAGAGGTTATAGTCCAATGTCCATATTCAGGGTGGCTCCAGTCAGTGACTGGGGATCTCAATCCTTGTGGCTTAAGGTTTCCCCCTCTTGAAACCCAAAGCAGATCTGAGATGAAGCAGGATCGTGTCCCAGGGTCTTATGCATTTCCAGCAGCCTTTCGGCCTGAGAAAACAATAGGCCTAACTCTCCTTCCAAACATCCTGGCAATTA